CGTCTGTTCCTGTTTCCATTGACACCGCGAACCATGCAGCTTCTTATTTTATTTGATTTTTTATAATCTTTTAAATATGTATTATATAAAATAGGACGCTGCGCTACGGCTAAAATTAGCGCTTCCTCCATTTTTGAATTTCTGTACAGAGAGGTCACGCAGTGACGTATCGATCTTCTACTGGTCACACGTCTTCACATGATGCGAATTCGCAGGTCAGAGTTCACCAAACTTGAACTTTGAAACGCAGCGAAATTTTTCGCATGAGCTTGCGTTTCCGGTCTGACGCATTCGCATGCGTATGAATGGAAGTCAATGGAACAAAAAGTGCAGTGTGACCGCCCCTTCAGACGGTGTTTCAGTACTGCCCCGCCCCCTTGCCAAAGCAGCAAGTTTAGTTAAGGATGGCGTCAATATTGCCATCTCAATTTGAGCCGGATTCAGACCCAGAGAATTTTGAACAAGAGGATCGCTTAGAACCTTTGCACGCACGGATATTGCAAGACATATTAGAGTGGTAACATTATTGTTGTTTTTTTGGCTAAATCACGTTTTAGATAGGATGTCAACAACCGCTTAAAAATAATCTGCATTTACTATGTACAGATAAGCACATATGTATTATTTTTATTGTTATTTAATTCTAACATTATAACATGAATTGCAGTGAAACTGTTATACAGTTACCATAGTCCAGTGTTTCCCAGGCGGCATATATATATATGCAAACTCATTCTCTGCCAGCAGAAGGCACTGTTGGAGTGGTAGAGATCAAGTTTTCCCCAGTAACGGCTGTACACAATACTGCGCTCCACTCAAAAAAACACTGCTTTATCAGACATTACATGCAAGATTAAATGAAAATGACATCCAGTTTTCTGAAGTCGGTTTCCTTGAGAAATACAGTGATATAAAAACACCCGCACTCAATGTATGGGAAACACTGTAGATTTGTAATTCTGTAATTCTGCAGATTACATCATTGTCCAGTATTGTACTGTCAGCAATTTATTATAAAAACGTTTTCATAATTGTAACATACATATTTACATACATAATTATTCAGATTCCCTCAGATCGCGTCTTTGATAATTCACACTGCGTGATTGTCACTCGCGTGAACGAGCACCGATTTGCTTCCGATGTCGGGCATTTGTCGGCGATTTCGCAAAACCTGTCGGCGAGTGAAAAATCGGGCTAATATCGTGCAGTGTGAACTCGGCATAAGTTACAACTAAAGCCTGGCTCACACTATAGGATTTTTAGCCCGATTTAACCCCGATTTCCCCCTCCTGAAAATCTGAGCAAAAATCTTGTCGAGCCCCTCGATCGGTCCCAATGTTCGGCGCGGATTATCTGGTAATGTGAGGCATTCACCGATCGAGCTGACATTTACACTCACGTACATATTAAGAGAAATAACAATATATGAATGAACGTACTTTGTTTCTTTTTTAGCACGTCTTCAACACCCCATCTACAGCGCGCCTCTGCCCTTCGGTCCGTGTTGCGCATGTCAGATGAAATAATAAATAAATGGCATTTCTTATGTTTTCTTCTTCTTTCGGACGGTATTTATTGATCCTTATTTATTTCAATTACAGTTTCTGAATGTTATTTACATATAAAAATAGCTTACATATAGACTAATGTTATTAATGTATCGTTTTTAATGGAAGCTTGTTTATATTTTTACCGTTAGTAGCCTATACGTGAGGCAAAATAAGTTGGAATGAAGGATAAATCAAAATTCATAGCATTTAAACAAGTTCTGCTCGCGTATTTGAAGGTTTCTATTGGATGATTTAGGGTAAACGTCATATTATGCGACTAGCATTACTTAATGGAGAGCTTACGAACGACTTACTACGTCCTGCCTTACGAAAAACTGGTGCAACCAAATAATATATAGATTTAGTTACAAACTAGCTAGTAGTTACTAAGCCTCTAGTGTGGACTTAACGTTCTAATTTAAGTAAGAACTTACGAATGGCTGGTGCAACCCTACCCAGAAGCATAAGTAGATCTTAAGAAACCATTGCAACATTGTTACTATTTATAAAATTAATTCTGAAAAATGCATCACTGGTTTCCACACAAATATGAAGCAGCAATAATAAATGTTTCTTGAGCAGCAAATTATATTAGAATTATTTCTAAAGGATTATGTGACACTGAAGACTGGAGTAATGATGCTGAAAATTCAGCTTTGATCACAGATGCATTTTAAATTACATTTTAAAATATATTAAAATAGAAAATTGTTATATTTCACAATATTGCTGCTTTTACTGTTTTTTTGTCGTTGTTGTTTTTTCAAATAAGTGGTCTTGATGAGCATGAGACTTAAAAAATTACAAAATCTTACTGACCCCAAACTTTTGTGTGCATGTAATATTTATTTTAAATTGGCTAGTTTGTGCAAGTAAACTTATTTAAACTGGTTGTTAAAAGTTCAAATGGATTGTGTTATGTTCTGTAATTGCGGTTAATAAATCCGTCAGAAAAAAAAAATGCTAAAGTTTCACCTTTAGGGGTAAAACAGCCTGGCAGCCTTTTACAAAAATTAACCATGGTTTTATTACAGTAACCACAGTTTACCACAGTATTTGTAGTAAAACTGCAGTAACCACAAATTTACCATGGTAATAATAATAATAATAATACATTTTAGTACTTATGTAACACCATGTTTATTTTTCTTGAGGTACCCTCAAAGGTGCACCTTTGTAACTTATCTACCCTTAAAGCATGCATACTTGTATGGTACTAATATACTCCCTTTTAGGGGTATAGTTGCACCTTTGAGGTTACTGCTCCAGTAAAGGGCTAAAATACAATTATAGTATATTTTATTTCTGACAGTGTAAACAAAAAAAGGCCTATAAAATGTTACAAAAAAAAAAACATGGCTTTAAAATCTAATATTAAAGAGTATAATTATGGATTATATTCTTTTAATATTTTAAAAGATCAGTTTAGTTTAGAGTTATCGTATCGATATCGACGATACTGGGCTTGAAAATATTGGTATCGGATCGAAAATAAAATAAGAGGTATCGCCCATCCCTACTTACGGGAAAAATATGATGGATTAAAATAAAAGTCCCGTTTAGAAACATATAAGCGATCAAAAATCTTGGCATTAAAAAAAAAGCACTGTACATTTTCAGGAGGAAAAAAAAAAGCCAAAAGGTAATATGTACAACTTTAGGTAATGTGTATGTTTAAAGTAATATATACCTTTTAGGTATCCAATAGTGTATCACCGTATCCAAAAATAGTGACCAATTAGTTTTTATGGCTCTTAGTTATTTTAAGTTATATATTACATTTTCCCACCGACTTGAAATTAAATTTGTGGTTTTCTGTTTAAATGTATTAACATTTGGTTAAAGATTATTTGCATAGGGCATTTCATCTTTGTAAAAAAAAAAAAAAAGAAAAGTTCTTTATGTAACGCTAGAGGGAGCCATAAGCTTTCAAATAAATGTAAGAATAGGCGCAACCTAAGTTTTAAGGCAGCAAGTTTTTAATTCCAGTCTTCATTTTTCTTAATAATGCCCCGAGTACCTATGAAAAGACTTGTTGTAGAGCACATTAAAATAGGCTATGAGGAACCTGACTACTTGCTCATTGTAGATGATACACAAGTGAAACAATTCACAAAGCTACAAGCACTGAAGCCTACCTACCCACTATCACATTTTTGTTCTGGAGAACAAAGAAGTATTACACGTTTCTAATTCAACAATTACACGTTAAGCGAAATGCATTTGTGGCCCCTCTCATGCATCTGTGAGAATATTGAAAAGGCGGCGTATTATTCAAAACAAGCACTACCAAGAATATTACATAACCTCTGAAAAACATGGGCCTGGGTTGGTCCTGTTGCATAAGCAGACTAGTGTGAGAAGTCCTACTGAGATTGATGAATAGTCAGACCTCGGAGAATGTACCAAGTCAGACATGCGATTCAGTAACATGTTCTCTACTGCATAATCAGTTTCAAACGCTGAAAGACTCAATGTACTCACATATAAATTTAGGCTTAAGTTCGTTGATGTTTCATCATTTCTTAGAAACAGTGGATTTTAAGTAACATTTTGCATGACTGACATTGAGTATTTTTTTCATTTCTTCACGAAATTAGCTTTTGGTTCAAAAAGGTAAAAATACCTTTAAAGGCTTTCATAATGATTTATGTTAACTCATTTTGTAGAAGACAACCCAAATAACGTATACACAGACCGTGTTACTACTGGAAATAATACCAGAATAAAATACAGGGTTTGATTCAAGTACAAAAGAGAAAAATCAGTTGTGCTTTTTAAGAATCAAATAACACTCAAGCTGCTCTTTAAACTTTTATGAATAACAAAATCTTTTTTTTTTTCTCTCCATGGCACATCACTACTTTCATTAATATCACAAATATAGAGATGGCAAATGTTCCGCCATCACCAAATCGATTTAAAAAGTCAAACACTGAAAAATGGACAAAACACCAGTATTAAAAACCATAACATCATCTTTCCACTCTCTCCCGGACACATGAACATCACCGTTATGTCTCGAAACATCAATATTGGCACTTGCAAAACAATCAACTCAGATAGTGCTGAGCAAGTATACGATCCCCATAAGGAAAACCATCCATATTAAATGGCAACTAACAAGAAGGCACGTCAACTGCACATTAACAGGGGCTCTCCAGTCCACAGTACGGCATGCCTACGCCAATGCCAAAATCACTTTCTCAATGAACCATCTGACAGCTTAGTGATCTAATGGAGAGTTAAGGCATTACAAGTCGAACATCTGTTTCCACTGACAAATCAAGATTTGATTCCAGTATTCTTTACTCGTCTTGATTAATATAAACACACAAATGGCATACTGTGATGAATTTAAAACCATACAGTATCAGACAAACTGATTTCGTAAATAAGACCACCTTGATATCGTCTGACGAATTTTTGCTACAGTAATTTTAAGGCCACGGTGAATGACCTCGCATTAGACAAAATAAAGCATACTGTATATGATTCAAAAGGTGCATTAGCTTAACCTTCGGAGTGAAAACGGGCCGTGGGACACAACAAGTGCTGGACCAATTTCCCTTTCTTACATCTGTTGCTTTGTGAAACTTGAATTTCAAGTGCTGGCTGATTGCATCACGAGTCGTTCTTATCTGATTTAGAAATTGGAGGAGGAAAAGAAAAAACATGATTTTTGGAAAAATAAAGGGATAATGAACGCTTGTTTTAGAGTCCAATAAAGCTGGCTAGATAAAAAAAAGACAGCATATTATTCCATGTGATTGCCATTTATGGTTTTGTCCTCACTTGAGATCTTGAAGTAAACTCATTGAACACAGGGAATGAGGGAAGTTTAACTCAAGATATAAACCCAAGAAGAGGAAGTCATTTTCTTAAAAAAAACAAACAAAAAACAATCTTCTCAAATAACCAACCAAAGAGGACAATCAACGGTTTTTTCATTTTAACAGGGCTTCCCTTAACCATGAAAATGAAAGAGTTGCAAAGGAGTAACACGTATTTGGGTGAATCGCACAAAAACATGCATAGGCCACATTTCCCCCTAAAATCAAGAGTAAAATAAATACAAAATATTATTTGCATAAAGAAAACGAAAGCGTACTTTGACTTTTTTTTTTTTTTGCATTGCGAAATTAATTTTATGACAATTAAACAATTTGTCCCTCATTATTACCATAACACATCTGAATATTTTGCTCTTTTTTTTTTTTCTTTTTGTAATTTTCTTTATTATTCACAACGGTGATTTTTATTAGATTACTGTAATACAGTACTTTTTGCATAAACAAGCATAAATTAAAGGCAGTCCAACAAATACAACCATAATGTATAAATACAATACAATTTAAATAATTTTTTTTTTTTTTTTTTTACACATTACAGTAAATATAATTTTGCATTATGGCAAAATTTCGAGGGAATGTGCTTAGTTGTCAAAATAATGTCACAAAGTCATAAAAAAAAGCATCTCTTTCATTTTCTTTAAGCAAAATATAATTTCTATTATTTGACTTCAGGGTGAAATATGCTCTTGCTCGCTTTCCTGAGATTCACGCAATTGAGTGTTAAAACAATCAGCTTCTTATTTTATGCACGTAATAGCTAAAGCAGTCCTTCACAGTTCTGTCATTCGACTTCTTTTTCTCGATCAAACATCATGTGAATGGAATTCTGGGTAGGTGATGAGGACTGAGCTAGTGGCTGGTCCTGTTAGGGGGAAGCAGTGTGGTGCTCCGAGCCCAGCAGCCTCCCTGGCCCCATAGTGACAGCTGCCCTTAGTGTCGTGCTAGCTAGTAGTCCTCTGCTGCTTCAGCACAGTGTAGACATTATCCACTTTACTCAGTCTCTCGAAGAAAGGGATGAGATCCAGCAGCTCTGTGTCAGACATGTCATCAAACCAGGAGGCTACAGGTACCTAAACATGACAGAGAAGAGTTTCTGTTAAAAAAATGATACGAGTAGTGGGACAAAGCGACAAACAATTGACAAATAAATTCTCAGAAGGTTTAGCAGGCTAAGCACTGCGCATAATATATCGTGAGACCCAAAGCAGTTATATGTGCAAAAGAAGAAAGGAAGGCAGTAACGTACAGCATTGTCTGGGTGGAAGATGTAGGAGGCTGGCGAGTTGTCCACAATGATGACTTTGTTGAGATCCCTGCCTAGACGGCTTAGGTCCTTGACATAATTTCCACGGTGGAACACACAAGATTCCCGGAAAAGACGGCTTCGGAAAGCTCCCCATTTGTCCAGCAGATCCGAGACGGGATCAGCATACTAGAAAAACAGAATGCCGGTAATGTGATGGACACGGTTAGACAGAGGGGCAAAAAAGTGCCAGTATCAAGAACAAAACATGGAAACACCTCTCTACAATATGGTGTGATTCTAAGATTTAAGTCGTTTGTGATGACTAGATAAAGAATACATAAATAAATCTATAAATATTTGCACTACCAGTCAAAAGTGTTTAATGTTTTTTAAAGAAGTCTCTTCTGCTCACCAAGCCTGCATGTATTTGATTCAAAATACAGCAAAAACAGTAAAAATTTGAAATATTTAAACTATTTAAAACTACTATTTAAAAGAACTGGTTTCAAGTTCAAGTTTATTTGTACAGCGCTTTTCACGATACAAATCATTGCAAAGCAACTTTACAGCAAATTAAGTTTCTACAATATTTAGTGGTAGCTTATCAGTGGTGACTGTCAATTAATGTACATATGGCAGAAATGTACGGAAAAATCAATTAAAGACGTAATAAAACAGACGATGAACACTATTAACAGCAATTATTATATGATGCAATCAAGCTTATAGCAAAATGTGGTAGTTCTGTATGATTTTCAATTTGAATACATTTTCAAATGTAATTTATTCCTGTGATTTCAAAACGGAATTTTTAGCATCATTACTTCAGTCACATGATCCTTCAGAAATCATTCTAATATTTTGATTTGCAGCTCAAAAAACATTAATTATTATTATGTTCAAAACAGCCGAGTTTAAATATTGATAATAATTATAATAATAATAAATGTTACTTGAACAGCAAATCAGTATATTAGAATGATTTCTGAAAGATCATGTAACTCTGAAGACTGGAGTAATGATGCTGAAAATTTTGCTTTGATCACAGGAATAAATTACATTTTAAAACATATTCAAATAGTAAGCTTTTTTTTTTTTAAACAGTAAAAATATTTCACAATATTACTATAATATATCTTAAATATAGAGAGAGTAAAAAAAAATAAATAATAAAAATCAATGACTTTAAGATATAAGATGTATACCAAGACACATTAAGACAGAAGATATGTATAGAGTAAAAAGTAAAAAAAACTAAAATAAATAAATGACTAAGATATAAGATATATATCAAGATATAGTAAGATATATTGAGAGAGTGAAAAGTAAAAAAAAAATCATTGACATGAGACATAAGATATATTAAGATATATTAAAATAGAATACAGAGGATATATATAGAGAGAAGAGTAAAAAGTCATAAATTTAAGAAGTCAGTGACATTAAGGTATAAGATATTAAGAAATATATTTAAAAAAATGAACAGCAAAACAATTTACAAAAAAAAGTTGACCAAAAAAATATAACATTATCTATGAAATCAGATCAAATAAATATATTAACCTGTATTTTTGTTACAGGTCTGCAAAAGTCCATTTTAAAATAAATCTTTTTCCACAGAACCTTGTAACATCTATAAACTGATACATACTGTAAGTGCTGTTAAATCCTATTTATTAATAAACTTAATACTGAATACCTTGCATAGTGCATTAGCATTTATTACCTTGGCTAAGCTTGCAGTGAATAAGACGCACTCGAACAGTTCCCCCATTCGTTTGAGGAACTCATCAACATGAGGTCTCTTCAACACATACACCTACAGAGACAGTTCAAATATGAGTCATTCCTGCAAAGCATTCAATTCAGCTACTATCTGAAGGGTTAAAACCAGCATATGAGAAAAACCGGCGCTAAATCAGGTCACAGTCATGAAGACACATTACTAAATAAATAAGATTTATATTAGCCTGCATCTTGATTTGATGCTTCATATAACGATGAGTTTTATACGATCGTAGAATGATAAACCCTGTTTTAAGAGACGCAATAAAACGGGTTGTTTTACTCTAACAACTAGGTCAGCCAGGCTCGTTTATGAAGCTGGTGGTCTCATTCCTGAACCAAGTCATCCCGAATAGGCTTTCCTGACATCACAAGCCTATCCTGGATTACTTGAAACAGGCCAAAGCCTTGTCTGTCAGACGTCTTCAGTCCCGTGGTGTAACCGGGGCCGTTGGCCTTTAAAGGGCCAAGGCACCATACTGTAATAAACATTTCAAGGACGCTGGTAAATAAGTAGCCACGTTGGCATTTACAACAAGAAGCTATTTTACAGTAAAAAATACAGTATAGGCTCTTATGTCACAGACATTAGCATACAAATAAAGACTGGAATTGCATGTCAGCTATACAAAACTATTTATTATGTTTTGTATCTTATTATATTATGTATCTCTAGTCTGTTAGTAGAGAAGAAATTTAGTTTTATGAGTAATATATGTAGGGCTGGCAGGTGTGACGGTATGTACTGTATGATGGACAGTAAAATGTGTCAACTGGTAAAGATTTTATTTGATATTCTATACCTTTGCCTAAATATTTATTGGTGGACAGGGTTGCTTCATATTATTTAGAGCTATAAAGTCACATGGAAAAATGCAAAACACGAAGCATGCATGGCGTGTCTAGAATTTCAAGAACATTTTAAAGAATTATCAGTTTTGGAATACTAGTTTAACTGTTTGAGTTTTTTGTTTTAACTCCGGTATTAGACAATGTCGCACTTTCATTTGTTATTCCAACAAAATAAAGAAATTAAATAGAAAAAAAATTGTAAATTATTTAATTCACTGGACTGTTAAAAAAGTCTTTACCAAATGGTTAATATATAAACAGTTTTTCCATTGAACTGTCGGAAAAAAAAATTCTTATAAAAAAATAAAACAGCATATAGCATGTACACTACCGTTCAAAAGTTTGGGGTCAGTATACATTTTTTTAAAGAAATCTCTTGCTCACCAAAGTTGCATTTATTTGACAAAAAATACAATAATATTGTGAAATATTATTACAATTTAAAATAACTGTTCTTTTTAATATATTTTAAAATGTAATTAATTCCTGTTAGAGCGAAGCTGAATTTTCTGCATCATTATTCCAGTCTTCAGTGTCACACAACGCTTCAAAAATCATTCTAATATGCTCATTTGGTGCTCAAGAAACATTTCTTATTATTATCAGTGTTGAAAACAGCTGTGCTGAAACCAAATTTGGTACTGACTTAAACTAAATATTTTCTAACAGTTTAAGTCTTTACTGTTATTTTTGTCCTTGCTGACAAAAAAAGTATTACCGTATTGTCCAGAATATAAGACGATGTTTTTTTCTTGGAAATACATCTGAAAAAACGCGGTCGTCTTATATTCAGGGTCTAGACTTTGACATGTCAATAATATACCCACAACAATAGGTGGCGCCAAATACGCATAAAACGAGTGTGCCATGAAATACGTAATGTAATGCGTGTTGTAAAGATCGCAAAGGTACATTTGGAAAAAGGGGGGTCGTCTTATAATCAGGGTCGTCTTATATTCGGGCCAATACGGTAATTTCTTTAAAAAAAAACACAATTTCACTGACTCCAAATTTTGCACAGTAGTTCACAATTAACATTATGCAAATACACCATGGTAAATCTTTGGTCATACAGCCTAACCCAAACAGGGTGTATTAGTTATAGACATTAGTATCCATAAGGGGGCATAAGGTAGCTCTTTTAGCACTAGCATTCCATAAGCAGAGGAAGATCAAGTGACTGACTGCAGCTGGGATGGGATTGCAAAGCTGCTGGCCAACCAATTCTTCATCGAAAAGTACACAGTGCACACACAGTCTGAAACCGACTCTGTCCTACGTTTACAGAATGAGTATCTCAAGACCTGCAGGCTCTTCCGGATTCATTACCAAGTGTACAGATGACACTGATTTAAATAACATAACATATGACATGGAATCAGAATCCAGCAAATTAAAATGTGAAGCAAAAACCAAGATGGCAGGAATGTCTGGCAACTCAAAACAGACTGAATGCATTATTTTACAAGCAAAAAGTTTTGACATTGAACTATCAAATTCATGCATAGGCTTTTCAAAACATGCTAAAATAAATTAGCAAGTGTCTCCCCTAAGAAAAAGGTACCTGATCTATGGGTGGAAGACAGAATTCACAATCACAGTCCTCTGGGTACTCTTCATCTTCAGATACATCACTCTCCTCATAAGAATAACTCTGTTCACTGCTTTTTTGGTCGGACTTAAATAACGTGTCTTGTTCAGATGCTTCACTTCTTGCAACTTGATGTATAAGTTCCTCTAATTTTTCATTTTTCTGGTTCTTCTCAGACAGAACATCTGTTCCAGGAGGATGAAGGAGCCCAGAGGTGTCTTTTGGCTCGCTGTTGGCCTCTTGCTGACCATCTGATACCCAAAAAGTGCCATTCTCTGTGTTTGACTGCTCCTCAAAGGCGCAAGAGACCAGTTGATCAGCAGTTGGGGTCTCTTTACCTTCATCACATTCCTCAGAACATCCCACAACATCCTCAAAGTCAAACAGGGTTGTTTCTTCATCTTCAGTAGTTTCAATCTCTCCACAACAAGGTCCATGAGCCCCCTCAGTTTCATCAAAGTCAGAGTGTGTCTCCTTGTTTGCATCGATTTCAACCACAGAACTGAGATCTTGTACGTTTTCCGTGTTCTCAGAACTGTCCTTTTCGGTTAAATCCTGACTGACCTCATTTTCCAACAATGTACTTTCTTCAACAGGTGATTCCAAAGTATCAGCTCCTTGAAATGTGTCCTTCACAGCACACAATTCTGTGGAATCTCCAGATACACTGTCAAAAGCATTTTCAACGACTTCTTCAAGTCCACAACCTTCAACAGCTGCAACACAGGACACTTGCATATCAACAAGGGGTTCAGCGACCTCTCCATTTCTGTAGCAAAGTTCATCATCCTTGCTCTCAGAATACAACGAGAAGCATTCATCCATAAAACCAGGCCCATAATATTCAGTTTCATGGACCTCATCTGGTTTGGCACATTCGTGGATTCGACCCGGGTCAACTGGGAGTCCAACAGCTACAGCTTCAGCATATGTTTTACTACTTTTCTTTCCTGTCACTTGTTGCTCAGAATCAATCTCACATTCTTCTTCACAAGCATCTAAACCTTCCGGTGTATACATACCAAAATTCTCAGCGTCACCTTCATCAGGGTACTCATCTGGCTGTAGAATTTGAATCAAGGACTCATCCTCTTTAAGAAGGTTTTCCTTATCACATGGTTCATCGGAGAAGATTTCAAATGATTCAGACTCAACAAAACTTTTGAATGATTCAGTTTCAGAGCTACCTTGACTTTTACCATCCATGCAGTCACCATACTCCTCCTCACTCGATTCATCTGAAGAACCTGCTGCTGTGGTCGCTGCATCCATGGAGATGTCCACATTTGAGTGGTGTTCAAACCTTGCCTCCTCATCATCAGCAAGTTGAAAAGATTGAAGAGTTTCATCATTAAAACATTTCCCCTTCTCCAAGTCGTCACACTTTCTACAGAGCTTCCTACAGTTGTCCAAAGCTTCAACTTCAGGGATTTCTGCTTCTCCATTTGACTCACTGATTTCAGCAGCAGGACTTGCAATCTCCTTATTATGCCTCAAAAGATCAGTAAGAAATTGAGAAAGCCACCGAGCCTCAAAGGTTTCCATTGATCCAGAAAACATGGCATCGGACTGAGATTGTTTCCTAAATTCAGTTTTGCTGCTATGATTAGGCAAATTTTCTTTGGTTAATTCAGGGTTGTGAAAGACAGACCTGTGTGTTCTTGAAGACTCTGGGCATTTTTCTGCAAGTCTGCTTTGATGTGGGCCCTCAGAATGGTCAGTGGGCACCGATGGAGTGCATTGTTCACGGACATCACATTTCTCAAAGTACGTTCCACAGCTTGTGCATTGTTCTAAAACCTTAAAACATACAGAGGATTCGCTGTGCTCAGAGAGTCGGTTACAGTCTTGATGCCCTTCAGCTGGGGAGTCAAAGGTCCGACTACAATCAAAGTTCTCCGACGAACAAGTGCAATCATCTAGGCTGTCATCAGTGGTGTCCATTTGCCCAGTAAGCTGTGTGTGCTCAAGGGACACACAGTGGTCAGATGGCTTACTTTCTTTAGAGTCCTGACACAGTTCAGGGGATTCAAAATGTGTGGCATGGTAGTTATCAAGCTTGTTTTGATTGTTAGGTTCAGACTGTTTAGATGTCTCGCAGTCTTCAGAATCTAGTTCAACTACACAGTTTTGATCAGATAAGTTGTCTTCAGCACTGCTGTTTTCACACTCTCTGTGCTGGTCCTGGTATTCAGCATCGCATTCAGAAAGCGTTTCATGATCTGAAGGATCTAATTGTGAGCACTCAACATCAGCTTGCAGAAAAGAATCACAAAGGTCTCCCTCAGTTGCTTGTTCTGCATCATCTTGTGGTAAAGATTCACAATCCTCTAAGCTCAACTCTTCAGCATTATCTTGTTGAAAACAGTCTGGGCTAAACTCAGATGAAGTTACCGATTCTGCATCATCTTGTGGAATAAACTCACAAAGGTCTGAGCTCATCTCTGATGAGTTTAACTGTACTGCATCATGTTGTTCAAAAGAGTCACAATTACCTAGTCTCATCTCAGATAAAATTATCTGTTCTGCATCATCTTGTTGTTCAGCATCATCTCGTTGAAAAAACTCATAATCATCTAGGCTCATCTCAGATAAAGTTAACTGTTCAGCATCATGTTCAGAAATCTCACTTTGATCACTTGGCTCAAATGCAATGCTAAGTTCATCATTCTGGCTTATTTCAACCAAGTCAACTGAAGAACTGCTTATTTCAAAACACTCACTGTGCTCAGAGCAGCTGTCCAACAAAGAGCTGTATCCAGATGAACAAGACTGATCTGAAAATT